CCTCTGGCTGGGTGGTGGTCACACGTGTAAGTAATTTCCTTTCCATAGGGAATGTTTCCCTGAGAAGTTCCGGTGTGGTACCCATTAAGGACAGAGGGAGGATGTGGACAAAAGATTTCTAGAAAGAAAGCAAGAGCTTTAGGTTCCATTAGAGTTTCAATCAAAATGATCATACAACCATGGTGCCCTGGGACTGTATTTTTGCCCTGAGAACACAACTAAGGTGGGTGGATTTAAATATGTAAGACTTTTTCAGAGAAGGAAATAACTGAAGTGAGACTTTAATTACAGTTTATTGCAAAAGTCCAAGACTCTCCAGGTAGCTAAGATTCAATTGGAAAGGCAACTGATTTGTTTTTCAGCAGCTGTTGTTTGCCTGCTTGATGTCTGGCATGAAGACAGTCCTGGGTTGACGCGGGCGGTATAAGACAGATGAGGTTGGCCCTCAAAGATCTGAAGTTGCAAAGAAATCTTAGTAAATCTTTATTAAACATAGACGATTGTTTTCAGCAGCTGTAAATGCTTCTTGATGATTCAAGACCATTATCATCTGTATCAATACCAAATACACAATAGTGTCTTCAGAATACACTGATTCCTATCGGGCTCTTCAGAGCCAGATTAAGTGGCTCTAGGAGCCTTTTTTTTTTTCTTCTTTTGTTTTTTTCTTCCTTCCAAGTGACCAGCTGTCATTTCTTTCTGCTTTTAGTGTATCTGTTTCTAGCAGTTCTCTCCCTAAAACTAATTTGATTCTTTGAATCTGATATGAATTTAGAAATAGATACCCAAGCCTGTCAGAATTGTGTGAATAAACAAAGTGAAGGCCTTCATACAACGAACAGTGAGTGACTTCTCATATCTGGATTTTATCTATGTGTTTGTATTTATCTAAAGCTTACTTATGTATTTACTTTCAGATTTATATGTCTCAGGAAGGTAGAGTTTGCTGGATATCTGAGTTTTATTCATATTGGATGTTCTTACAAAGTTCCATCACAATCCTGTAAGATGTCCAAATAGATTTCTAGCAAGATATTTTAACAGAATCCAGATTAAAAGGGCGATTCACAACTGAACGAAGGTGGTTCTGTATATTACATTTCTACACACCTGTGCTTCAAAATATAAGTGGATGGTATCTCGGAGGCTGCTGTGGATCCAAGGGAGTTGGAATCCAAAGAAATGGGGCGAACTGCCCCACCCACATTTGCTGCAACTGAGGAAAAAGCAAAACTGGAGAAGGCCGAACATGGTGGACACGCACCAGAGATAGAGAATTTGCAGAGGTCCAGTCAGCCTCACGGGAGAAGCAGGCGCCCATCCAGGCAGGACAGAGAGGAGATTGGAGGCAGAGGAGAAGGAGGATCTTTTTTTTTTTTTTTAAGATTTTATTTATTTATTTGACAGAGAGAGAGAGAACACAAGTAGGCAGAGCGGCACGCAGAGGGAAAGGGAGAAGCAAGCTCTCCGACGAGCAGGGAGCCAGACATGGGGCTCTATCCCAAGACCCCAGGATCATGACCCAAGCCAAAGGCAGCTGCTTAACCGACTGAGCCACCCAGGCGCCCCGGAGAAGGAGGATCTTGAGGAGCCAGCTCCCTCTTCAGGGCCAGAGACCTCCCTAATGGAGCAGGTAGAAAGCGGAAGTGGTGAGTGATCGACTGGACCCATTTCTCTCCAGCTGCGCAGATTTCTGAGGAAATCTGGGGGAGAGAGGAAAGGGAGGGAGAGGCAAACAAGAATAACAAAGGGCATTGAAGGAACCTGTTCCCTGGCCATCAGCTTTGGGATTTCAGCAGGAGGTACTCTGGGAGTACCCCGACTTGAGGATTCCGCCCCATGTTAGGTTGTGGGCACCCACAAAGTAACAGGGACTAAGCCCACACCTCCCCCAACTCTGCCTTCAGCTTTTTCTACACCAGCTTTTTTAAAACCAGTGCTCCCCAGTGCAGCCCAGAGCCAATGCAGGTACAGAGAAACCAAAAACTTGATCTATAAAGCGCCACCTTCTGGAAATCAAAGGAATGGTTTCTAATTGCAAGTATGTTGAACTGCAGTAAACAAAGGTATGTGCTACTTCAAATGGGATGGCAGAGACACATTTTGTCAAACACTGAAAAATCACAGGAACATCGTATGGCAAGTGATCGATCTCAAAGGCATGGAATGTTGCAATCTAAGTGATTAAGAATTCAAAACAGCTGTTACGAAGAGATTCCGTGAGCTACAAGAAAACTCAGAAAGGCAATTTGGTGAACTCGGGAATAAAATTAATGAACAGAAAGAGTTCTTTACCAAGATGTGGTGTATATATATATATGTAAATATATATATGATAGAATATTATCAGCCATCAAAAAGAATGAAATGTTTCCATTTGCAACCATGTGGATGGAGCTAGAATGTATTATACTAAATGAAATAAGTCAATCAGAGAAAGACAAATACCATATGAATTCATTCATATGTGGAATTTAAGAAACAAAACAGATGAACATATAGTATGGGAAACAAACAAAAAAGGAGATAGAGGGAGACAAACCATAAGAAACTCTTTTTTTTTTTTTTAAAGATTTTATTTATTTATTTGAGAGAGAGAGCCTGAGCTGGGTAAGGGGGAGAGACAGACTCCCCACTGAGCAGGGAGCCCGATGCAGGGCTCGATCCCAAGACCCAGGGATCATGACCTGAGCCGAAGACAGATGCTTAACCAACTGAGCCACCCAGGTGTCCCCCATAATAGACTCTTAATGATAGAGAACAAACTGAGGGTTGAGGGAGGGAGATTGGTGGCGGATGGGATAGATGGGTGATGGGTATGAAGGAGGGCACTTGTTATGATGAGCACAGGGTGTTATATATAAATGATGAATCACTGGATTCTACTCCTGAAACCAATATTGCACTGTATGTTAACTAACTAAAGTTTAAATAAAACTTTGAAAAAAAGAAAGAGTTCTTTATCAAAGAAATTGAAATTAAAAAAAAGAACCAGACACAACTAAACCACCCTTTTATTTATGCACAATAAAGTTTTCTATTTCTCTAAAACAAACAAACAAACCAACAAACCAGACAGAAATTCTGGAGATGATGAATTCAATGAATCCAATGAAGAATAGGTTAGAGAGTTTAGGAAATAGGACAGATCAGATTAAGAATAGGTTAGTGACCTGGAGGATAGAAATTTAGAGATAACTCAGAAAAGGAGAGAGAACTAAGATTTTTAAAAAGTGATGAAACCCTATGAGAGGTATTAGATATGAGAAAAACAAATATAAGGACAACGGGTCCACCAGAAGAAGAAGAGAGGGAGAAGGGAGCAAGAAGTATCTTTAGAAAAATAGTAGCTGAGAACTTCCCTAATATGGGGAAGGAATGAAACATATAAAGCCAAGAAGCTAATAGAATACCCTATTATCTCATTGCAAAAAGACCCTCCCCAAAATATCTTTTTTTAAAAAAGATTTTATTCATTTATTTGACAGAGAGAGACACAGTGAGAGAGGGAACACAAGTGGGGAAGAGGGAGAAGCAGGCTTCCCGCTGAGTAGGGAGCCCGATGCGGGGCTCAATCCCAGGACCCTGGGATCATGACCTGAGCCGAAGGCAGACGCTTAACGACTGAGCCACCCAGGCGCCCCAACCCTCCCCAAAATATCTTGTAATGAAACTGCCAAAAATCAATGATCAAGGAGAAATGAGGAACGATATATTCAAAGAGGTGGAAGAAAAATTGCCAGCCAACAATACGTTATCTAGCAAGATTAGCCTTCAGATGTGAAGGAGAAATAAAGGCTTTCCCAGAAAAACAAAAACTGAGGGAGGGTCACCACCACCATCGCGAGACCTGCCTTACAAGAAATGTTGAAAGAACGTCTTCAGCTGAAATGAAAAGACATCAGCGAGTGACATAACAGCAAGTGAAAATACAGAGTACTCTAGCAAACGTGAAGAATAAACACGAAAACCATAACTCTCTATTGTTAACCACCTAATTATAATATTAAAGCTCACAGAAAAGAGCATTCAATAGAACTGTATCTACTATAATTTCGCAATGACTTCAAAGCATGAAAAGAAGTAAACTAACAACAAAAATACAAAAGGGGAGGAGTAGAAGGCTGGAAGCTTTATAGGTGAATGAAGATAAGGCGTTATCGGCTCTGAAGCCCGCCAGGTCCGGAAGCCTGGGTCATCCAGGTTCTGCTAGGAGAAGCCAAGCTTCCCAGAGAATGTTTCAGAAAAAGTGATGTGGAACAGGGGCGTTTTGCAGACTCCTAAGAGACCTCCAGAGAAGACATGGCTTCCAGAGAAAACACGAAGAGGACAAACAGAATGCTAAGAAAAAGTCAGCTGGATGCACTTGAACTTAAAAGGCTCTGAAGCAGCTGGTTTGGCCCCAGTTTACTCTCTCCTTTCACGGATTTAAGCCAGGTCCCTTTGCTCACTTTGAACCAGAGGTGAAAGCGTTTTTGTGGCTTTTCTTGTGGCGATTGACCATTTACTCTAAAAATGCCACCGTAGGACAGCCCATTTTGCATATTCAGTACAAAAAACGATGTTTCCCCGAAGCCCAGGTACCAGCCTCCTTGGCTACAACAACCCTGCCACCACCTGTTTTGAAACCGCCGTTTGGCGTCATTTGGCAAAGCCAGGCAGTGCGTGAATATCGTGGTTGAACTTTTGAAATTAGGAGGGCTGGTTAATTTCCCGATTTTCCTTCAGAGGGGCAAGTTTGCAACTTTGCCAGAACGTTCCCTAGCCATTCGTTCTGTATGTCACAAGCCCCGAAAGAAAATGTGAAGTTGGCTTTGAGTATATGACCAGGGAACTTCTCTGTCATGGTTTTGCTGAGTTTCAGATTTTTCTCTTACCACGTATTAATATCCAGAAGTTGAAAGCTGAGTGATCTTCATGATGTATTCCTCTTACTGGTGTTCCTAACAGTGACAAGACATTAGCCACCAGCGGCAAACAGTGTTCTCTGTGTGGAGAGTGGCCCCCGCATGCCTCAGACTGGAGGAGGTGAGCATATGTTCTGTTACTGCTGTGTGAAGAGTAGTTTCTTATTTGACAGGGACTTTCCTTGTCCTGAGTGTGGCACACACATACACG